TTCTTTAATGGTAGTCTATAGACATACCTGCATTTTCAAAGCACTGCAGAGGGATTTACCCATGCAGCCCCCACTGATTTCACTGGAAGACGGTTTCCTCCTGACACACCTGTTTGTAGTTTGGGTGTGTGCACATGAAAAAAGACGAAGTTGGATAAAGTAGTCAAAGCAGTATAACCCAGCATGAGCAGCTATTATTCAAACAGACCACACCACAGTCTTCCCAAGTGGATCACACAAGCACGTATCACCTGTGATGTGAAGCAAAGAATTACTCCAGATTGTATATGTCAGCTTACTGGTTGCACGGGGGGCATTCAGAAGCAAAACAGTACACATCAGACGCAAGAAACTGAAGGAACTGGATCAAGAGTTTATTACTCTTCTTACACGTCACCTTTATCAAAAGCGCCAGTTCCTTCAGTGGCTTCAACAGAAAACCGGAAAGTAAGAAGCTTTATGTCATGTCTACAGCTGTTCAGATTCAAACTGAACAACTTTCTTTCAAATGAAAGTCTACGTCTACAAACTGTTTTGACTAAAGTCTGAATATTTCTGCTAATAGAGAGGTAGTTTTTCAAGTGCTTCATTCTGTGCATGCTAACTAGGGATGATTTGGTTATTCACAACATGATTTGGTTATTCAGCTTTATACTTTCAGGAAAAACTAGGTACAAAAGAAAAAAGCATCCGTGAGAGAGTGACCTGTAAGCTCAGGTAGCCCCTTCCACTATTCATATATCTGTAAGGGTAAGCAAGCATTGCAGAAGTCTGTAATGTTAACAGTCAAGTTATGTCCTAGGACTTCATCACTGTTTGCTGAGGCAAACATTAGATAGCAACAAGTAGAAGGGACCAACAGCTAAACCTCACAAAATAAGATTAACAGAAACACAGGAAGAGGAGCCGGGAAAGGAGCGTTGCTGTTCAGCATCACAGCAAAGAATAACTTCTCCAGACAGTGATGGCTCAATAGATTACCAGTTGCAGCCTGCCTTTACTCATCTCACTTAGACTGTATTCTTTTGAACTGTAACCTCAGGAAAAATAAGTAAATTGTCCTGAGCGTGATCTAAAAAGTAAAAGCAACTTCACTGTGGAAAAAAAGAAAAGCAGCCTGAATCCATATCCTTACACTTTTTCCATTCAAATGCTTTTGAAATAAATTAATTTTGTGTCTCAAATACAGTTTTCTAAGACTTCCTCCACTTTCCTGCTGTACGAACTATGGAAGCAGGAAATACATTTTTATTTATTTGTTTTAGATTCAAAGTATTTAAGATAAAGTCTTGCATCATTTTATTTATCAAAAATATCAAGGCTGCAGTTTCATTCTGGTAGCTCAGCTCAAGAAAAAAAAAAAAGAATAAAAAAAGAAACAGACACCTCAGTATGCAACCCTATAATGGGAAATGCTGTTCTTATCACAAAAGACTTGGTAATTTACTTGCATACCTCAACAAAAAGGAAGGAAGAGAAAGAACTTCATGTGAAATACCAGAATACAGCTGATTTCCCATCACTTGGCCTTGTAATTCTTCTGCATCAGGTAAAAATAAACTAGTCTATACCTGGGCTTGGACTTTTCAGTACAGCCTAAAATGTTAAGCTCATAAATCTCCTTTTGGAGGTTAGGCGGCCGTTAAAAGTATCATCAACTTTGAATTTTTGCAATTAATAAAACAAATCAAAGAAATACATGCCACGCAGTGGTGTTCTGGATAGCATTCTGTCAAGAAGTCTACGCTTCAGAAGCAGAGCCCGCTGACATCTGTGCATTGATACAACAGTACAGAAACAGCCTCCGGATTACAGAAGATCACGTTAATGACATTTTGAGCTTTAAATTGTGCGATATGCTTGTTTCAGAAATTATAGACAACCTCATATATCACTGCTCAGTGGGGAAGGGAGTGAAGAGAGGACCAACTGTCCTTCCCTCCAATTTGATATTTTAATGACACAGCCTCTCAGCATGTCACTGGTGAGGCTCGCAGTTTGCAGGCAGTCAACTGAAGATTTGCCTTCACCACGCAGGAGATGTCTGAAGCAGGCTGTAATGCCACTGCCTCCTGTTGTCTCACTGGAGATAGAGAATATATCGTCTGCTGAGTCTGCACTTTCATTTTATCACCACCTGTAGTTGTTGAACTTATGCTTACTTCCTCATCTCCCTTTCTCATGGAATAATTAAAAAGGAGAGGAAGGAGGCAGAGCAGTAAGCAGTTAAGTTCAGTGACTAATGGCACTGGAGTGAAGGAACCTGATTTGCTTTGTGACATTGCTGCTGCCTTGCTATATAACCTTAGGCGAGGCACTTGACTCCTTTATGCCACAGCATTCTTATCTGTAAAAATGAGATAACAACACTACCCTCCTCTGCAAGATGCTTTAAGATCCTTGGAGGAAAGGCAAAGGGCTGCATGCATTCAGTTGTCTTTTGGGATTCAGCACAGCAAGGCCCAAACTTTGCTTCAGATAGATGCTTATGTGCTTAAGCGCTCAAACTTTTGAAGCTTTGGTGGCAGTTTCCTGAGTCTGCAGACAGCCTGAAACAAAATTCCTGAGGGCTAAACTTGAGATCTAACAATGTAAATTTCTAATGCCAGCTTTTTAACCACAGAATACATACTCATGTGATAGGCTTATCCTACCAAAGTCAAGTGTTTGTCTCCTTAATCTCCAACAAAATGGCCAACATCTTCATTCTCTGTCTGGCAATGCTGCCTTGGGGGCTCCACTGGGGAGGCAGAGCCAGTTTTCCATACACAGAGATGTGGTCAAGGAAAGATAGAATGATCACCTTCCAATTTCATCGCACAAAGCCAGGCTTGGATGCTGGATAGATACAGGCAGTCAGACAAGTTGGAGCAGCTTGACCTGTGGGGAGCATAAGATGTCTCTTCACATCACACCCTGCTCTTCCTGTATTGTTCTTTGCCAGAACAAAGTAGGTACAGACATTCCCATAGGAAATACATGTAAAATGAGATCAAAACTAAATGGGAAAGGCAAGGAACCACCAGTAAAGGAGTCAGACAATTTCTCACTGCCTCATTAACCCTTCTGCTGCACCTGATTCTGCAGAAGACAACAAGGAATTTCCAAGTTTCTGCCAGCCTGATAAAAGCAACAAGGCTTTTCTTTTCCTACTCTGCTTGAGTTTTTTCATCGTGGGCCTTTCAGTGGCAAAGCTGAATCGCACATCCCATTCCTGTTCAACACCCCATCGTTCTGGGGCAGCGTGAGTTGTTGGGTTTGTCCCAGAGTGCTTAGGACCCCCTTTGTCACAGCCATTTTGTTCTCTTACAGGACTGCCATTGCTGGGTCCACCTTCCTCTGCCCTGGCATGAATGATGCTTTTAGGCATAATCGACATGCTGAACAAAAAGACTGCATAGCTCAGGAATAACATTCCATCAGCAAACACTTCCTTCTATACAAAGAAAGCATAATGATCTAGCGCTTCTGACACATCACGAGAGCAAAATGACTTGAGCAGTGACAGACTTTACCATTGGATGGGGATATGCAACTTTAACGTAAGGCGGTTGGGGTCAGGAAGCAAAATTCAGCCCTGTTACCAACACCCCTCTATTGCGTGCCCTTATTGCAACATGCAGCGGCCACCTCGGTTTGGAATCGTTTAACCTGCAATAATACAGGAAAAGGACGTTAGCAGATAATACAGGAAAAGGACGTTAGCAGCGGGCACACGATCCGTGTGATCTTCAGCTCCAGGAATGCTGGCATTCGGTGGTCCCTCAGCCCACTTCCTCACGGGACAGGAGGCTGCACGGCAGAAACCACCATCGTAATTAGCTGCCTTACGCAGCCAGAGCAGAAGGCAGGCTTTCTTCCCCAGGACTAGTCCTTCCACAAAAACACGAGAGAAGACAGGGCAGCAGCTGCCCACGTTGAGCCCGCGTACTTTAGGGGAAAAGAGGATGTCAGGCTGCATAATTGTTAACTCGCTATTTTATGTGCCCCAACTTCGCTGTTTCAAACAGCAGAATTACAGCAGTTAGGCTGCAACACCGCAGCCCCGTTCTGTTCCACTGACTGGAACGCAAACCTTATTCAGGCAAAAATCCTCTCCGCACAGCACACCGATTTTATTGGCTCTAAAAATCCCCCAGAAGGTACAGACCAGCCTTCAGGTTTTAGAGAATTTCCCCCCTCTACCCCTGCCACAACGCTTGTTAGCCGCGTAGGAAAGCACAGGTCCGTGAACCCTGCGATGCAATCGCACCGTGCAAATCAGCGCCGCAACCCTGCGTTTTATTACCATTTTTTACATCTCCTCATTTTAATCCGCACTCGGAGCCGGCTCCCGTTCCCATCAAAGCGCGCAGCAAGCTCCCATTAAAATCTGGCCCAGCTAGTATTTTAATAACACCCAGACGTTCCCGTCCTTTGCATATTTCACCTGCGAAGTGCTTTACAAACATGAGTTTCCTAATTACAGGCGGATGAGTTACTAAAACTGGAAATTCCTCACTAGTTCTGGCTTTCGCTTTGAAGCTCCAGGATTCGCTCCCGTCCCTCGGCACTTTGGAAGATCCCCCGACGCCGCTCCTCCGCGGCGGAGGCAGGGCAGAGGAAGGCGCTCAGCCGACGGCGGCCCGCCTCGAAGCCTCCGCGCCGGCGGACTT